AAAAAGAATGGAAAGAAATTGTGACAGTCAATTTAACACTTAATAAGAAATTAAAAGGAAAGGAACCAAATTGGTGCATTGGTGAAAGTTCATGGATTAAGGTGAAAATATAAGAATGCCAATGACGTGAGATGTTGCATATAATTTAGGTGATAAGTTCTATTAGCCTTATTAATATCACATGGACGAAAATGTAATATTACAATATGCTTTAAATATATGAGAGGTTAATTGTCACAATTGAAAGTCGAGCGATCGAAGTGAGATTTTGAATAAAGTACTTTGGCTTATTTTGAGAAGTAAGTTAAAAGTCACTTTTTAAAAAAAAAAATAAAAAAAAATAAAAAAAGAGCTAAAAAGTCATTTTTTAACCATCTTTCTAAAATACTCTCAAAGTATTAAGTCTAAAAATTTTCTTATTAAAAATAGCTACATATTCCCTTGGATTTTGGATTAGATTACTAGTTTTCTCTTTTATATTTTATAATTTATGTATTCATTTTTAGGTATCACTTGAATAAAAAGGTATTTGCCAATAATTCTTTTTTACTTTTTATTTATTTTGCATACCCAACTGTACGGGGAGGAAATAATTCTCCTCGTATAATCCTGTTGACCAAGTCCACGCTCCTCCGTACGACATCGCTTTGTCACCTGAAAACACAAACGTGAGCTAGCCGGCGGGTGTGTGCCGGAAACCTCTCCGATGCCTAAGTCAGAAAACTTGACAAATTTCTTAGTTCTCAAACCGAACTTGTATAGCTACTTCTTACTTAGTCCTTCGCGTTTTCTTTTTATTTATTTTGCATACCCAACATAAAAAAAATAAAAAGAATAGTGTTTATGATAACAGGTATTAAAGTATATTTGTAAACAAATAAATTCTGATATGTTGACTTGTGCAATTAAAAAAAAGATTGTTGACTTGGGTAATCAATTTTTTTTGTTTTTTTTTTGACTTGTGTTTTGTTAAGAAATAAAGTTATTTAATTTATTAATACACTAATTAGTATGTCAATTGATATGTGTACCACCATTGTTTGTTAAGACACTAATTTGAGTCGGATTTTAATTGCATTAAATACATTGGTTAATAAACTTAAAATAACAGGATTTATATTTTATTTTATGATATACACTTTCACAAAATTTGTATAATTATTTTAAATTTTTTTATTAATAACTGTCATTAATTTTATTAATAACTGTTATTAATAATTTATTTATTTTATATAACAATAATTTTTGATAATTTTTTCCATGATGAAAAGTCGGCTTAACGCGGAGTGTGTCGGGCCATACCCGAATACGCGTTGAGAAATGTGGAATGCCCATCACTGGAATGGATAGCATTTTTTAATCTTTAATTTTAAAAGCTATGTATTATATGTTTTATTACTTAGTTTTGTATTATATATTTTTGTGAAAAATATTACATAAATTTTTAATAAATTTATGATAATTTATAATTCAAAAATAAAATTATATATTTATTTGTAATATTACACATTTTTTTATCAAAATATTTTGAATAACAGAATGTATAATTTTATTACAAAAATATATATATTATTATAAAAATATATAATTTTATTTTTAAAAATTTTACGTAACATTTGTAATAAAAAAAATAGTTTAAGCCACTTGGGTAAATGCTAAATTAAAGTGCGCTTTGAGTTTTAAATAAATGACAAAAATATCAATAATTCACAAACTTAAATTACTTATATACAGAGGTGTTTTAATATTTTTTATTAAATTGTTAACGGATTTAACGGTACACTTCACATTCTACACTATGGATAATTATTTTTTTATTTTATTTTTTTGAAGTTCATATTTAGCCAAAATTATGTACTATTTGTTTCGTTTTAAAATATTAATTTTTTTTATTATTTTAAAATATTACAGTGTGTTTGGTTTTAGTCTTTTAAATTTAATTTTTTGAAAATTGAGTTTTTTATTTTTCGTATTTTTTTAGTGAATATTTTTAAAATTTTAAGTTTTTTTTTTACTTTTTTAGCTACACATTACTTAGATGTATCTAAAAAATAAAATATTTGTGAAAAAACATTTTAAAAGATTAATAAATACACAAAAATATAAAAAATTATTGAATTTTCATTTTTTTTTTGTATTTTTGATATTTACTGAATTTTTTTAATATTTTTTTCACAAAAATTATACTAAGTATATTTGTGTTAAGTGTGTTTAAAAATTAAAAAAAAATACTTAAAATATAAAAAAAATTCAATAAAAATTAAAAAAATTCGGAAAATAAGAAAGTAGAATTTTTTGAAAAGTGTTTTCAAAAAACTAGTAACAAACATTGTTTGGTTTGTTTTTGGAAAAAATTTTTAGGAAAAATTCCTTATAAATAAATTTTCAAGAGCAATCAAACCAAACAAATTTTTTCAAAAAAAATCTCAAATTTTTGTTTGATTTGCTTCTTTCCAAAATCACAACTATCTCTCTCGTACATATCAAATCAATCATTTTTTTTAAAACTCTCTCTCCCAAAACCATTTTTGAAAAAAAGCAAACCAAACAAATTTTTGTACTTTTTATCTCAACAATTACTCAACAAACACAAACCAAACAAGTCCGGTGTCTTTTTTAAGAATTAAGAACTAAAATAATATATTTTGCTCTTCTTGTAAATTCATTAATAACACAAAAAAATATAATTATGACAATTGATATCCCTAAACAAATGTACTAACAAAGTATAATTTTAAAAAATTAATATTTTTAAAGTGTAATAATTATACTACTAAAAAAAAGTTAAATTCTCTAAAAAGACTATTTTTTTTTTTTTTTGAGAAGAAAGAAGTATATTAGATAATATGAATATTTTTTTTTTGTGTGGTTTTATTTAATTTTAAAAAATAATAAGGCTAAGTTTGGCATCTTCAAAAAATTTAAAAAGTAAAAAAATCACTATCCTATTTAAGTCACATCACCTCTCTACCACATCACTTCAAACCCAATCCATATTTCATAAAAAGTTAAAAATTACATTTATTTAGAATATTCCAAACAACTCCTAAATATACAATTACTTTAATTCTAATCATATAACAACATTAAATGTTGCATCAAAGATAGAGTGATTAAACAAATTAAACAATTTAAACATAGGGATCGAACTGTCTTCATTGCAGATTTGAGATAGTTATGTCTAGTTTAATTCATTGGGCTCACTTTTAGGCCCCTTTTTTATAATCAAAACAGTTTTACATTTTAGAATTTGTTGAGTACATTATTCTTGTAAAAAATTATATCGATCGGATAACGAATAATATGTATTCGGATCACTTTTGTTTGAAAAAAATAGATGGTCATAAAAAAATTGATGTGATTTTTTATAGGGATAATGTACTCAGTAAATCTTACAATATAAATAGTTTAGATTATCAAAAAAAGACTCAAAAGTAGACCCAATAAATCGGACTGAACCCTCCAGTACAGATAGTGGACTGGAGGCAACCCCCGACCTAAGCATAACTCATGTTTGAAATTTTAAAAGTTCTTTTGAAATGGACTAATTATATAAAAATGGTCAATATATAATTTAGGCCTTATTTGGTATTTTTTAAAAAAGTCAAAAAATTAAAAAGTCACTATACTATTTAAATTATATCATCTTATTTAACTCACATCACTTCAAATTCAACACATATTTCATAAAAAGTCAAAAGGTACACTTATTTAGAATATTCCAAACAATCCCTAATTTTGAAATTTGTAGTATTTGTTTCTGATGCAGTATGAGTTTGGCGCCCGTGATTAGTTTAAATAAAATTTATTTAAAAGATGATCAAAACAAATTTTAATTTTTTTTTAACTTGTTAAATTTATGTGCCAAATTTACAAAGCAGTTTACAAAGTTTTGTAAACACACAAAGGATTCGTTTGACATGTGGGTTAACTTTTTAATTTTTAATTTTTTTTGACTATTTTAATCTGAGACTAAAAAGTCTCGTTTAAGATAGATTTTTTGATTTTTTTGACTTTTATAAGAGAAAAAAATAAAATGATTATGAGTTGAATGTGATATTCTGTTTTAATGGGTTTTGAAGCCTATTTTATCTTTTTGTGACTAAAGTAACCCCCAACCCAACTTAATCCAACCAAACCCTTATTGCCAAACGAACCCAAAGAAATTCAACAAAAAGTGCTAACTTTCTATATGTTGCTTACACTCAAGGTTATTATTTTGTTAGGTAATCAAGATAATACAATGTTACTATAAAAATAAAGAAAATGGATACAATCCTTTATGTTCCTTATTCCAGAAAATGAAGTTAAAAACAAAAAATAGAGCATAAACCAAATATAAATAAACATGTATTCTTAAACAAAATGATACTAATCTTGAGACGAAATTATCTACTCATTTTCTCCTTTTGATCAATGTCTGACTTTGCAAAATTATGTAAAAAAACAGAGCATAAATGAACAATACTAATATAATATTAATTCGTCATATTCCTCCAACACCAAACGAAACTGTAGCACAATGAAGCAACACTACAATGTGAGTGAAACTAAATCACAATTAAAAGCATAAATCATAGTAACTGTCAAAATAAAATGATAGTAAAAAAAGAAACGTATATATTTTGTCTATAATATATATATATAAACAATAAATATAAGGATATAATAGTTTAACAAATAATATAAATTAAAAAAAAATGATCTCATAGAATAAAAATATAAATACATGAACACATAGAACTACTTAGGTTATAAATTTTCTTTATAAACTTATTATGTTAGAATACTCCTAAATAAGATTTATTAATAAAAATCTATTTAAAAAATACCTCTGAATTATGTATATATATATATATATTTTCTTCTTGTTTTCTCTAACCATTTGGTGGCCTACTTGCCCCAATAATATTCCATTTCCATTTCAAACAAGATAAAAGAAGAAAAAGAAAAATCAAACTTTTTGAAAATTCTCTCCTATTTAAACTCTTGCCTAATTTTACGTAAGCCCAATATAATAATAGACATTACACACATGCCAATTCCCAAGTAACCACAAAGTATATATCATCTTTTCCGACTATACTATCTTCGCCGGCGACGGAATCACCTCTTCTCCACCATTTCCTTACAAAGCTCAGCTTCTCTCTCCTCTCTCTCTCTCTCTCATACCCACTTTCCAAAAACTAAGCAAAGCGAGTCTGACTCGAAGTACCAATCGCTAAACTCAGTGCCAGACTCATTAAATAGCTCCGGCGAGAGTGAAAGCGACTCACCATTGCACCGTTGAGAGTAGCTTTGGTCATTAATACAACGCCCTTTAAAGCTCTCTCTCTCTCCTGAATTCTTCTGTGTGTTCATTTAAGGAGCACACCAAATGAAGAATCAAAGCTCGTGATTGATTGAGGTGTGATTAGTACTACCCACAAAGAAATACATTGCATTCTTGTATTGAAAAAAAAATAATTCAGAAACCCACAAGTTTTTTTTTTGGAGTAATGGAGTACACGGACATGAACAAAGGCAATACTGAGGATGACCCAAGATGAAAAGACGAAGCTCCGTAGACCATTCGTAGTCATGGAAGCTCACCGAGTTCAACTCAAGGTAGCTCTGTTACTCTTACTCATTAACTCGGTCTTGACTCAGCAGGTGGTGCGTCTGAGTTCCCGCTCGGAGTTTTCGGCGTTGCTCGATCTCCGGTCGAGTTTAGGGATTAGGGCTAAAGATTGGCCAAGAAAGACCGACCCATGTTCACGCTGGAGAGGAGTCGATTGCCGGACCGGCCGAGTCGTCGGAATCACTTTGTCCGGGTTGAGGCGGACTCGTGCCGGCGGTCGAAATCCCCGGTTCGCCGTCGATTCATTGGCCAATTTTACTCTTCTAGCTAAGTTTAAATCATCTGGGTTTCCACTTCCTGGGTCTATACCGGACTGGTTTGGTCAGAGACTCAGTGCACTCCAAGTGCTCGATCTTAGATCTTGTTCAATAACCGGTTCAATTCCTTCTTCTCTTGGGAATTTGAGTGGATTGAATTCTCTGTATTTGTCTGATAACTTTCTAACTGGTGCCATACCGTTGATATTGGGCCAATTATTGTCTCTATCAGTTCTTAACCTTTCGCGAAATTCATTCACAGGAACAATTCCATCTGTGTTTTCATCTCTTCTCAATCTTAGTACCCTTGACCTCTCTTCAAATTTCCTATTTGGGTCAATTCCTAATAATCTTGGTTCACTTTCTAGGCTTAAGTTCTTGCATTTGCAAAACAATAGCTTTGATGCTTCTATTCCTGTTGAGTTAGCTAGCCTTTCTCAACTGATTGTACTTGATCTTGGAAACAACGGTTTGTCCGGGTCGTTGCCAAGTGGTTTATTTTCGAATCTCACTCAGCTCAAGTACGTAGTTTTGAGTGGGAACAGTTTCGATGGTAATCTTCCTGATGTTCTGTCGTCTTTGCCCGCTTTGCGCCTTCTTAACGTATCTAGCAACAAGTTCACAGGTGTTTTACCAAACCTTACTGCATTTTTTAATGCCGCTGGCACGGTGGTTGACTTGTCCGATAATTATTTTCAAGGTCCAGCTCCCAGTAATACAGGGACCAATGTTGTTGTCAATGGAAATTGTTTACAGAGTTTGCCGAATCAGAGGAGATTGCAGGATTGTAGGTTGTTTTATGCTAGTAGAGGATTAATTTTTGATAATGATATAGCCCCAAATCCAGCCTCACTTCCTTTTCTAGAACCTGCATCAATCAGCAAAAAACGAGTGACGTATATATTGGTGGGACTGTTTGGCGGACTCGGTTTCATTGCACTTTTGGTATTGGTGCTGCTACTGGTTCTGAAACTAAGCAAAAAGGGAAATACAGATCAGAGGACCGCAAGTATGGGGCCTGTTCCGGGGGGCAGCACACCCCCTCCCAAGGCTTCTGTTAATTTATCAGATTTGGGTGAATCCTTTACATATGAACAATTGCTCCAAGCCACAGCGGATTTTAGTGATTCAAACCTTCTCAAACATGGCCACTCTGGGGACCTTTTCTACGGAACATTGGAAGGTGGGTTCCCCGTGGTTATCAAGAGGGTCGATTTGAGTTCCTTCAGGAAAGAATCTTACATGTTGGAATTGGAATTTTTCAGCAAGGCTTTGCATCAAAGGTTGGTCCCACTCTTGGGGCACTGCTTGGAGCATGAGAATGAGAAACTCTTGGTTTACAAATATATGCCGCATGGAGATTTGTCTAAATCCTTGTACAAATCTACCAATTTGGAAGATGACGGTCTACCGTCTTTGGATTGGATTACCAGACTGAAAATTGCAATAGGAACTGCAGAAGGTTTATCTTACCTACACCATGAGTGTAACCCACCCATTGCTCATAGGTACTACCAAACTTGATTTTCAGCTATTTTAATTCATTCATTCTGATAGAATGCATTTATCTAAGTCTGGGTCATTTTTTGTTTCATAGTTATTATCTATGGTGTTTCAGATTTGTTTGGATTTGAGGCTGTTTTTTTTTTTTTTTAGAAAGACTCGAACTCTTGACCTCCTAGGAAGTGCAAGGGTTTTGGTCAATTGACCTAGCCCTTATTGGTTGAGATTTTACCTTCATGTATAGCTCATGGAGCAAGTAGATTCAAATTACTTTTTCGTGCTGTTTTGTGACATATTAATGTCACTTTGTAATTAGTTGTTTCCTTTACTGCAGTAACTAGTTGATTAACTAACATAAATAAATACTAATCAAGTTCAAAGGGTTGGTAGCATGTATGAAATGTGTAATTATGAGTCAACTCTTGACTTGATTTCCCAACCATTGACATGCTCCCCCTTCATTCCTGATTAACCAGACAGGGCACGTGTGATGCATTTATGCAAGATGGCAATGTTTTAAGTCATCAATGGTGGGAATAGTTAGGTGGGAGACAGCTGTGATGGCAACTTTACTTTAAATATTGCAGATAGAGTTTTATTGAAACGACAATTTTCCCACATATTGCTAGACCTAGAAGTGAAGAATGTTAGAAAATAATGTTGTCATTGGAAGGAGAGATTTGTGGTGAATAAAATATTTTAATGCTCAAATGCTTTATGATGCCTGGGTGGTCATATACTTAATACTTGTAATGATATCTACATAATGGAACTATGGAATGATTTGTGGAGCAGAAGGAATCTGTCTTGTGATTCTCAACTTTTCGCCTTGGAATAGCCCATTAGTATGAAGCACCTTAGTACGCACATGCAAAGAACAAAATCAAATTTATTAACGCTAATTCTCTTACATAGAAAGAATTAGAGGTGTAGTGTGTTCCATTAATGAGGCCAAAGCCGAAGTTACACAATGGCTGCACATGTGTGGCATATATAGTAATGTTGGTGTACAAAATACATAACTGTAAAAAAAATGGCCTTATCAAAAGCAAAATGAGAAGGTCCTGCCTACACCTCATATAAAGAGTTGTTGCTTACTAGAGAGACTAGTAGTAGAGGGCTCTTTGATTGGACCTTCAATTTCCTTTTAAATGAAACTAACAGGGGTACATCTGAACATTCAGAATGTCTTAGTTTTTACATAATAGTTATCATATGCTTTCAAGTTTGTGAAGTTTATGTTTTCCATTTTTTTGTTGTTAAAGAGATATTCAAGCAAGCAGTATCCTTCTTGATGACAAATATGAAGTGCGGCTTGGAAGCTTGAGTGAGGTATGTGCTCAAGGAGGAGATAATCACCAGAATGTGATCACGAGGTTGCTGCGGATGCCACAGTAAGTATTTTATCAGTTCTTGATTGGAACCATAGTGCATGCATATTATTTGCTTTGGGTTCGTTTTTGAAAGATAATCTTTACAATGGCAATGGATCGAAGTTCCCGTGAGGGTGTTTGATCACGCAGAAGAATACAATCTGAAAGAGGAAAAACAGAGAGAATTCATGTGAAAAGAACCCATTTTCTGTCCACATATTTATAGTATATATGGTGGCTGTTAAGCAATGGTTACAACTTATTAGAAATTCAAACTCAATGATCAAACTCAACCCATTTTCTAAACCATTGTGATTCTTCATTCAAATGTTAAACTTCCTACTTCCACTAACTTCTTCCTGCGGGAAGATCGAATCACCATATAAGGATTTGATTTGGTGTGAGAGGGTCCACCATATTATGGTGTGATCACCTCTCATACGTTCATGTTTAACTTCATTTAGCTATGGGTACTTGAGTTGTCAAGCCATTGGTGTGTTGTGATATTGGCATAAAACTTTTCATGAGTGAGATTATATTGGATTCACTAGATATGATTATGAACTTATGATTATAGAAGTTCAAAAGAAAACCTACAGCATCGGCATCAAATATTCTCCTGAAAGAAAACAAAATGTGTCCACACTCACACTTACAGAATTAGAGAGACCTATTAAATGTGAAGATTGAAGAAGTTTTCTAAATAAAAGAATCCACCGAGTGTTTTTTGTAGTACAGAACTCCATTATGCAGAAAAAGAATGCTGAGAACTGGTACAAAACACCATTAAGGAACCAGAATAGCCATATTTACGATTATGTTTCCTCCTCACCCCCACCCAACCGATAAAAAAGAAAAAGAAGGGAAAAGTTTTCCACCAATTGCAGCTTCAATTTAAATAAATAAATAATTTCCATCACCCTTCCTGCAAACGGAAAAAAGAAAAAAAGAAAAGGAAAAGTTTTACCCATTTCTTTGTCAATGACCAGAGAGAATTGTGATTTTTACTGAATTTGAATTTTACCCATTTTATTAGTACATTTAAACTGTGATTTTTACTGAATTTGTTAGATTAACCACCTAATTGTAATACTCTTTTGCTGATGATGAAACTGTTTTTCTCTTCGTGTTGATCAATTTGGTTCAGAATTATAATACACTTCTCTCTTGATGATTTGCAGGACATCCGAACAAGGCCCTTCCGGTAAGTGCAATTAGTTCTTGAAACTTTTCGTTTGGGTCAGCAAGTGGGTGTATAGCTTGAAATTGCTGACTAAGTTTTCTTTTCTATAATTTTTGCTTATTCATTCATTGTTTTGGAAATGAACAGACTCATCATCTGCAACTTGTGCTTACGACGTATACTGTTTTGGAAAGGTCTTACTTGAGCTTGTAACGGGTAAGCTTGGTATCAGCTCATCGGATGATACCAACACAAAGGAGTGGTTGGAGCAAAATCTACCATTCATTAGTTCACATGATAAGGAAATGGTGGCTAAGATTGTTGACCAATCTCTGATTGTCGATGAAGATCTAATTGACGAAGTGTGGGCCATGGCAGTTGTGGCCAAGTCATGCCTTAATCCCAAGCCTTCACGACGCCCCCTAATGAGACATATCCTCAGGGCACTAGAAAGCCCTTTGAAAGTGGTGAGGGAAGAAAATTACAGCTCTGCAAGGTTAAGAACGACTTCGTCAACGAGGTCTTGGAGTGCTACTTTCTTTGGTAGCTGGCATAACAGCTCATCGGAGAGTGCCAACATTCCAGGCAACCAAACAAACCGAGAGGGTGTAAGTGGCTTAAAACAGACGAGCGGAGTAGGCTCACACGGTAGCGGTGCAAATGAACTTTCCTCCTCACACAAAAGATTATCCAGTGAGATTTTCCCCGAACCGGTTGATATGCAAGACATAGAAAGGCAAGAGGAGAACTAGCCAAGAGTGTGAATAACATTGTGATTGATTGCGGAGTTGATTGCCTTCATGAAACACAAAGCTACTTCTCCTCCTACTTTCATCCCATTCATGCCAAGAATTCATCAGTTGCAAATGACTCTCTAAAGGAAGACTTGGCGGGGTTGACATTGTCGGACCCAATTGAATTTGATCGAAGAAAAATGGTTCGTGTACGAGAGAGAGAGAGAGAGAGAGAGAGAGAGAAGTGTTTTTGAAGCCAGATTTATGGGTTTTGGCTTGTTTGTTGTTATTGATTGTTTTGAGGCCTTCTCAGAGGTCCACGGGAATTGTAAATTGTAGAAGGCTAGGCTTTCTTCTTGTGCTGTAATCATTATTTCATGATTTATTAGAAGCAGGTAAGCAATTTGAGTGAAGCTGTCTAGATTTGGAATGCTATTAATAGAATTCAAATGTTCATTTCCATTTGGATATAGCTTTAAGATTGGATGATTGATTTTGTGAACATTGAATTTTGTTATATTTATGCATTACTCCCTTGGGTGCATTTCCACTCAAGTGGTAAAACCTTTGCTGGAGTTCCAATTACTGTGTTTAGTTTTAATTTTTTAAAAATTGAGTTTTTTGTTTTTCGTATTTTTTTTGTTTTTGTTTTTAGTGAATAGTTTTAAAATTTTAAGCAATTTTTTTTTTTATCTTTTTAGATACATTTTATTTAAATATATCTAAAAAGTAAAATATTTAAAAAAAAAAATTTAATAAATACACAAGAATATAAAAATGTACTGAATTTTTATATATATATATTTTTATATTTTTGATATTTAGTAAATTTTTAAAGTTTTATTTTTGTAAATATTATGCTTTTTAAATATATACATGTTAAGTGTATTTAAAAATTTTAAAAAATTGCTCAAAATATTAAAAAAAAATTCAATTTTTTGAAAGGTGAATCCTAAAAAGTGAAACCAGACTTTCTGGGGGGGAAAAAAAAACATCATTATATCTTTCTACTTATTTGTTGCACTGTTGAATCAGTAAAATGTTTAAAAAAAAAAAAAAACCATCAATAAAACCATAAAACAGCACATAAAGGAACAGACCCAAAAGAGAACATAACAAAAAAGGAAATTTCGGAGAATGCTCTGCTTCCATGTTCTCCCAAAAGCCAAGTAATCAATGATGCCTCCTCAAATTGCCACGTTCTCATCTTATTGGATTGAGGACCTTTTTCACATTCCAAGGATTTCAAATTCATGGGGCATGAAGTCTTGGCTTGGGCTATAGTGTTTGTTGGGGGAATACAGGCTCAGGTTGGTCACTTGACTAGTATAGAGGCACGCAAATCTCTCCACCTACATAATCGTAAATAACAATTTAAGCACAAACTTTTAAATCATTATATCGGCAGATATTTAAATTAACCTGATGTGCAAAGCGGGAAGTCTGATAGCCAGTCTTCATGAGTTGTCCCCAGACCTTATGGAACTGAGACAATTACGAAAAAAACGACAAGCATGTCATAAAATTTGTGCTAACAAGGAAACCAACTATTCATTCAATAGAAGAAAACCTCCCAACAATGAAATGAACTACAAGAGTGAGACCACTAGTTTCCGTATCAAGTACATACCTTTTGGTGAAATTGTAGCTGAGCCTGTTGGTGACTAAGACGAACTTGCTCTCTTTGAGACTAAAATGAAACCATCAAGAAAAAATATGTCAAATTTTGAATTAATCTTTTCATCATTGTTCAAAATAGTTGCTATAATTTTAAGATGTCAATGACATTTAACTGATTTGAATGATTACCAAAAAGTTAGTCATAAAGCAAGATTGTTCAAATGAGGTAGCATTAACCAGTTACTGCTAAATAAGATGCAACAAGCTACATCTACGGACGTGTAAAAAAATGATGAGGGCAACTATATTCTCAAAATGTTTTATGAAATAAAATCAACATATCTATTTGCCCAATCACACATTCAACAAAAATTCTCAAGTGGCCATGCCACATCACTCATATTATATATAGTTCATCCCCAAAACTCAAAACTCAACAAAGAAAGGGGAAATAATGATACATTTCCATCATTGTTGATGTCTAAACATTTCCCAAATACTTCATTTCAGTTGTCATGCATAAGACCAACTCTTGTGCCTGTGGGTTATAGGGCATAGAACAAAGTGATTCCATCTATATGAAACACTTATACACCCTCGTTCAACAAGAGCATCCTTTTATAAATTGCAAAAGCATCAAAGAAACATGAACCAACCTCCAATTTGTCAAGTTTGCATGATAGTTTCTTCTCCTCATCATCATTAAGACCTTCAAACCTAAACAAAGAGAATGAACGATGTTAAGTAGAAGAAATAAATCAAGATAATACCATTTAAAGAATGAAAGAAAGAAATAAGCAAAAGACCAAGTCACACACAAGAACATCATAATCTTTCAGAAGCAATAACCAAACAGTCAATATTCTGCTCACTGTAACAGCACTACGATTGAATTATGACAGGATGGATTCAAACCCACCAACAGGAAACTGCCACACTTTCCACCTCATGGGCGCACATCATTGGGGCGGGGACTCTTTCTACGTTAAAATTTTGCCAAACATCTGAGAAGGTTTCACTCGCATATAGTGGCATAAAAGAAAACTACTTACTTGAGAGACCATTTCAGATGATGTATTTTGTCTTCAACAAGATCACGCTTATTCCCCAATAGTTGAAGTTGCTGCATGAAATCACCTCATAAATTTCAGAATGGGGAGCAAAATGAAAATAAAGCATGTATGTGATCATACTTTTAATAAGCACTAGCAGCAAAGAGCATCAGGTATGTCCATATGAATAACAATGCAATTTGAAAGTGCCTAGTTTAGTATAGTCGTAAACCTGATCATAATAAATAAATCATGTTTTTTTTTTAATATCATTTACAATGATAACCAGGGGGACACTGGTTGAGTGGTTAAAATCCAGCCTAATAACCTTGAGGTTGTGGGTTCAAATATGAGATGCAACCACTTTGCATTAAAGGCCAGGTCACCATGTCTATGCTACTTAACTTCCATTAGTGTTTGAGGGCATCAAAGTTACAATTCGAACCTATTAGTTGAAGAGAGAGAGAGAGAGAGAGAGAAAAAAAAAAGTAGGGAAGAAACTATAGTTCCATCAATACCTTACGGGTATCCTTCAATTCCCAGAGGAGTTCAACCTCCTTCTCCAGCTCTGGAACAACTAGCATTGTTCTCCATCCTGGATTACAAGGATTTTGAATTACAACATGGTGTATACTTTATAAAGTTATGCTAACAACTAAATTTTATAGTACAGGTCCTACATAATCAGTGAAGACAGAGTAAGTAGTGAAAGGGCACCAACCACCACAAAATAAAACTTAGCTCAGCTAAGCTTGAATATATTTTATTTGTATCAATACAACTACTAACCCTAACAACAATAATCCAAAAAGTTCACAGCATGCTTACTCTGAGCTACTTTCATATGTTTCCAACATTTCAAATATAATTACCATTATATCTCTTAGGTGTCATCAACATAAGAGTTACTGGAAAATGTGGTGCCAAAAATAATAATACTAACTGAGGTCCCTTACCTGGATGGAAGAATAATGAAGATAATCGGAAGAAAGTATAATTGTATTCAGTTACATTTAGAAGAAATCTCTGTTATGCCTAAAATTTACTTCTGGAGTCTCGAAAAAGATATCCCAAATGTTTTCAGCCAAACAAAAAAGAGCTTCAAAGCACTTTTCAATATCTGGAAAGCACAATTGTAGTGTCAGGTCTGTTCTTAGTTCAAAAGTTTCTGTGCCACATTTTTTAGAACCAGATATTTACGGGAAGATATTAGCCGACCCCATTTGATGGGACTTAAGGCTTGGTTTGGTTGGTTGGTTTATTACAGGAAGATATTGTAGAACCAAATAGAGAGTTGACAAGCGTTGTGCAACTCTCATCCAAATTTAAAAGAATGTAATAACAATTTAATCAAATGAGGCAAGAACAAAAAAGTTCATAAGCTAGCTATTAATATTATGCCTAGGAAAAAGAAATAGAGAAAGCATACCTAGAACCTTTTTGCTGCGTAAAATGTCTCCATATATGTGATCCCCAACATAAAGAACCTACCAAATGTACACCTTATTAGAACATAATGGTAGTATGAAAACTTATTGGACAAAAAAGCATCATGTTGATTGCTATATTGGATTCAATAATGAATAAATGACTAATAGATTCCTTTATAAATTGTAAAATGAATTACTTGATTAAAATAAACTTCAAAAACTTGAAACAATTTACTGCATACCAGAAAATTCAATAAGGACAGACGTTAGTTCTTGCTTATATGCAAAAAACTTAACAAGGAAACATATCAATCAAGAAGATATTCTTGATAATGTCTAGAAACCATTAGAAAAATAATCTAACCATCAAAAATTCAAATAAACAAACCTGTGAACTGGACCCAATACCCAGCAGTTTATGCAGATGACCAACATTGCCCCCTGAAAACACAAGTTCACAAAAATATGAGTAGCACATTTAATTATGTGAGTACCCAATGGAACTCAACAATCATAGAAGACAGGCCCGGAACCAAAAGCACACAATACAATCTCTGCATCTTATACAAGATAGACTTTGTAAATGAAAGATTTAGCTTCAAGTATTACCAGGAACACTCTACAATTCTTATTCAGGCTCTTTAATGGTAGCATTGAAGTACCTCCCACCTAGGCCATTAAAAATGAAATTCGTAAGAACACAATCAATAACCGATAAAGATGTTGTAAATTCTACAGATCATAGGATATGTACACCAACCTGAGGCATAGGAGTGCCATTATCAGTATTAAGTAGCATCACAGACTCGGCTTCAACCTCAAAAAGATTGGCACGATTCTCATCATGGAAAAAACTTGGTTTTGCACTGTAGAAATATAATTGCTTTTTTTAGATTATAAATCCAAACAATGCATAATAATTATGAAAATATGGTACGCATGTTCATTAATTAACATCAAACTCTATAAAATGCTACGAAGTTGCAATTTGAAATTGTTGAAAGAGTTCAAAAGCATGAACCAGTTTTTAAAAATTGGTGTGTTTTCCAGTCAACAATAGAAGCTCACAAGATCATCTGCAGGCACATGAATCGAAGACCCACGTGGAATCGCCACCATGATGAAGCCACATGGCATTGTCATGATGACTCAACAACATTCATGGGGTGGCATGCAGACCAATGAGGCAACTATGCATGCAAGCCATCAGTCCCAGCTAGCAGACAAGGTGAAAAAGCAAATATGAAAATATTGTGCAATGAGATTGGACCTTTTTTCTATATGAAAATATATTAACTGCTAGTGTAGACTACAATATGTATGATGGAGCATTCCCTACTCAGAAGTGAAAAAATAATAAAACTAATAATTTAATAATTCATTTAAAACTTTGTGTAGAAGAAAAAAACACTAAATGCACGTGTCAAATTGAGATCCATAGA